CAAATGGAATAGTCCTTTTTTTTCTTAGGGTTACAAAATAATTCCCTGATTGTCACAAAAATATATTTTTAAGTAGTTTTGGGGTTGAAATCAAGATCCAGACAAGGTTCAGACATTGCAGCTAACATATCTCTCAAGTGGGTTCAAATCTATAAGTTTCCTGTTTCTTCTTTTCCTTGAAATTCCTGAGGGGTTTCTCTATTTCCTGTTTGGCTGATTTCATTCTTCCTTCTGGTGTTAGACTTGTTTCTCCATCCTGTGTATTTGCTTTAGCTAAGTGATTTGATCCTCCCCTAAAAGCTTGATCTGATTGAGGTTCAACTTTGTGCAAGAATACTTGTTACATGGAATTTTGTACTCCTGTCATAAGGTACATAATGTCCAGTTGTCTCTTTTGTGATGACAGCAGCCAGTAGTGATTGTCACTTAGGATCATTATTTCATAAGGGATTTTATTTCATGTGGTCATATTCTAATTTCCTCCCTCATTTATCAACAGGATCACAGTCATCAAGAGGCACTTTCTCATTAACCCGGGTTATCCAGTAGAACATAGTTTTAAGAGGATGTTTGTACATGTGTAATTCATTAGGAGAAGGTCTGGGCTTGAATTTTTAAGTGCACAGAAAACTCAGCTATGAACCACCAAGACAATTATTAACTCCAGGGAAAACAATGTAGGGAAGGAAAAAGTAAGCATAGCAGACAACTTGCTACAGCTGTGAACATTCTGTACAGAGTCCTAGTAATGTAAAGTAAGGATATTGAGGTGATCAAAATTATAATGTAATCATGTCAAAGGTTTGGAAGGATGAAGGTTTGGGAGTATAGATGAGATGGGGTTTGAAATAGAGCTTAATCCTCATTTTCCAAAATGGAAAGTCAAATCGGTGATACACAAAGTTGAAAAAGTTAGTAGGCTGTGCTACAAGTATATTACTCAAGAGATAGGGGGGTAATTATTCCAAGAATCAGCAGTAGGAGCTGAACGTGGTTGCTTCTGGCCTGGAAATGGGGGCGGTTGTTGGGAACTGCTCCTTTTTACAATCGGTGTTCTAGAATTGTTTGACTCTTTAATGAATGCATGGTATAACTTTGATAAAAAAGAAATAAAAACTGAATTTTGAAAAATTGATATTAAGAATTGGCGTTTGTTTGACAGAGAGATAACAATCAGACAAAATGACATTTGAAGTGATCCTCATTATTTCTAGCCTTTCATCAAGGACTAGGAGGCAGACATCTGTTTAAGGCTCAAAAACTCTTTCTGACCTTCTTGCCAAAATGTAACCTTTGGAAGTAATGAACACCCCGTCACTGTAAATATGCAGGCAGAGGCTGCCTACCCAGCTCTCTTACTGTAACAGGGTGTGTTTACCATTGGCCAGTTGGAGCATGCAACTTCTAACATTATTTCAGTTTTGAATGTGGCATTTCCAGGACAGATAGTTGATAAGAATGTATTACAGAAAGCTTTACAAGAAAGAGTCCAAGGCATCTCAAACCCATTGCCAGGGTTTTCTCTGCCAGACACCATCCTGAGCCTGCCATCCATGAGCCAGGCCACAAAGCCCAGTCACATGAGAATGAACACACTTTGTCCCTCCTATCTCCTGATTCAGCATCAGGCCCAGCCCTTTTCCCCATGGAATGGTCTATGCCCAGGCCTCTGATGATGGAGCTGGTCTCACAGCAGCCCTGTGAGCACTGGTCCAGCCCAAGGAGGTTCCTGCATGAAGTTTCCCAGGACTGCAGGCTGTTCTCAGAGCTAAGTCCCCACTAGGCTAAGCCCACGGAGCTCAGCGCAGCTCCAGAATGAGCCAGAAGCCTCAGAGAGAA